ACCTGAAAAGACAGAGTAGGCACAGATAAAAGATGATTAATTTTATAAAACACATTGTATATGAATAATCTTATGCAACACAATGGTAATGGAGGAATGTGTGAAACATAATGCACATAAATGAACACACATGTACATGAATTTTGTATGCAAACCAAAATAAAAATTTTAAATATGGCACTTTAAGTAAAATATAAAGGGCAAAAAATACATTTTGGAGGTGATTTCCTAAGAGAAAATTTTACCAGAGAACTGACACTTCTTCTGTTGTTGTCTTACACATAATTCATGGGTTTTTTATAGTTTTCAAAAACATGTTGAAATATCAACTTGGCAAAACGGAAAACACAGAGAATTTATGACAGTCCTCAAAAAGGTAGAAGGAGCTATTGACAGCCATTATGTGCCAACCTTCGAAAACAGAATAGTTGAGGACGTAACAAAGAACTAGCCTGGGCTACATTGCATGGACCTTCAAAGTATATTTAATAAGTGTTATATACCAAACTAAAATTTTTTTGTGTTTATTATAAATCTTAACAGATACAGTAAATACAGATTCTACGCTATGTAAAATATCTATCTGTCCTTATTCTAAAAATTAAAATTTAATAATATAGCATATGCAGAAGCTCTTCTGTAATGATTATTTTAGAAGATGTCACTTAAGAAAAAAAATCTTAGGTTCCAACAAAAGAAAATAGAGTAAAAGATAATTTTTAACATTTCTCTTTTAGACAATTAGATATATCTAGGACCATTTTAGACTATTTCTTATACAAATAGAACCATTTGAAAGCAATAGGAAAAAACTTGATAAATGAATAACAGATAGAAGTAAGTGATTAACACCTTCATTTTTGTTGATCTACGATAAACACTCGTGTTAGCAACAGTCAAGAAATCAAGAGATGTGCTCTATTGAGAAAATCTGGCAAGGACATATATCAGTTTAAAGAGTAATATGCACCTGATCCAAGCCATCGTATTCTCAAAATTAGTTCCTATGTGTCTTACAGTTGGACAATGAATAAGGATGACCAAAAAAAAAGGAGGCCTTTGAATTGGGTTTGAGTGAAGAGTACTACAGATCTCACAGACTGCCAAAAGAACAAGTGTGTCTGGGGGGAAAAAATATAACCAAGGTGCTCATTAAAGGCAAGGATAATGAAACTTCATCTCACATACTTTGGGTATGTTGTCAGGAGAGGTCATTGGTTGGGAAAAAAAAAAAACCATTATGCGGAGAAAGGTAGAGTGTCAGAGAAAGACCCTCAAAAAGATGAACTGACACTATGACTGTAACAGGGGGCTGGATTGAAAATGGAAGTCATGAGAATGGCACAGGCTAAGGCAAGTTTCGGATGAGTTGTTCATAGGATCTCATTATGAGCTGTAGTAGACTCAAGGACACATAGCAACAAATGTTCTTTGACTTTGAAATTCTACATGGAATAAAAAGATTCTATTTCAGTCAACTTTTTAAGGTGCTAGTAAAATGACAATCTCATTTCACAACATTTTTTAAAGGAAGTTCCATTAAATTATACTACATGTTAAGGCAAAGAGGTAAAGGGCATTAAATTACACAGGTGTCAGAGTTTCTGTAGACTATATATCTAAAAGTAAAATGTTGTTGTTGTTATGTGCTGTTGAGTCACCTGCCACTCATAGCAACCCTATATACAACAGCCCTAAACTCTGCTCTATCCTGTGCTAATCTCACTGTCTCTGAGACATTCATCCCAAGTATCCCAGTCACTGAATCAATCGTCTCAAAGAAGATCTTTTCCTCCTGTGCTGTCCCTCCACCCTCGAAACGTGACGTCCTTCTCCAAGGACTGGTCCTTCCTTGCAACATGTCCAAAGTATGGCAGACAAAGCCCCAGAATCCTTGTCTCCAAGGAGCAAACTGGTTTAACCCTCTCCATTATGAACCTGTTCTTTTTCTTTGCAGTCCATGTTATATTCAATACTCTTCCCCAACACCACAGCTCAAAGGCATCAATTTTCCTTCTCTCTTCTCTAGTCATTGTCCAGCTCTCTGACACATAGCAAGTGATTGCAAAGACCATGGCTTGTATCAAGTGCACCTTAGTCTCCAGAGTGACACCATTGCTCTTCAGTATTTTGGAGAGGTCCCTAACAGCAGCCTTTCCCATCACAATACGTCTTTTAATTTCCTGGATGATGGTGCCAAGAGTGTTGACTGTGTAGCCAAGCAGAATAAGCAGTGAACAATCTCAATCTCTTCGTCATCTATCATGATGCTGCCAATTGGCCCAGTGATGAGAATCTTTGTTATCTTAATATTGAGCCTCAATCCATATTGAAGGCTGCAGTCCTTGATCTTCTGCAGCAAGCGCTTCAGGTCCTCCTCAGTTTCAGCAAGCAGGACTGTGTCATCTGCATGGTGCAGATTGTTGATGAATCTTCCTTCTATCCTGGTGCTACATTTCTCATGCAGCCCAGCCTCCTGGATAATCTGTTCTGCTTATAGGTTGAAAACGTATAAAGATAGGACACATCTTTGGCGTACATCCTTCCCAATTTTGAACCATGCAGTGTTTCCTTGCTCTGCTCTGACTACTGCCTCCTGGTTTAAGTGTAGGTTTTGCATTAGCATGATCAAGTGTTCTGAGATTCCCATTCTTCTCAGAGTCAGCCACAGTTTGTTATGATCCACAGAGTCAAACGCCTTTGCATAATCAATGAAACACAGATAGACATTCCTCTGGTACTCCCTGTTTTCAGCCAAGTTCCATCTAAAATTAGCTACAATATCCCTAGCACCATGACCTCTTCTAAATGCAGCCTGCACTTCAGGCAATTCTCTATTGCTGTGCTGTTCCAGCCATTTTGGGATAATTTTTCAGCAGAATCTTGCTTGCATGTGATATCAATGATATTGTTCAATAATTTCTACACTCTGTGGGATCACCTTTCTTTGGAATGAGAACAAATATAGATCTCTTCCAGTCAGTTTTCCAAGTAGTTGTCCTCAAGATTTCGTGACACAACTTGGTGAGCACATCTGAGGCAACATCTGTTAGTTGAAATACATCAATTGGTATGCCATCTATTCCTGGGGTCTTATTTTTTGCCATTTCCTTCAAAGCAGCTTGAGCCTCCCCCTTCATCACCTTAGGCTCCTGCTCATACATTTTTTTCATGAAATTCTTGTGTGTCTGCCAATTCCTTTCTGTACAGTGACTCTATATACTCTTTCCATCTTTTTTTGTTGTTGTTGTTGTTGTTGTTTATTTTTCATTTCAATGAACATCTACAGAGATTTTGGGATTCCATTCATTCATTGTTGCACCCTTCTCCCCGCACAAACCCCTCCCCCCTCCCCCCATTTGCTCATCTTCTTTTAATACTTCCTGCATCATTTAGATTAAGTGTAAATAAGACAAGATAATTATCAACTTTATATGGTGTCCTTTTTTCTCCAAATGACTAGATTAATTTTACACTCCGTAACACTGTTTGTATTGGTTATTTTTTTTTTGGCTTCCTTACATCATCTTAGTATTTACACTACTGATTTTAATTTTTACCAGATATATATAAAATGGTATAGAATTTATGTATAATTCATTTGTATCCTGGTTATTAAATAGTACGTATTTTTTTATCTATTGGTCATAATTTCTCCTTTTCCATGACATTCTTATTCATAATATGGGCCAATTTTTATTTAAATATGTTGTTGTTATTGCCGTCAAGTCGCTTGCAACTCATAGCAATCCTATGTACAACAGCCCTAA